ATGTTGGCTCTTACATACAGGGAACACATTCTAGTTGCTTCGATCTTTTACCTTTCAAGTTAACAGAGTGAAATCTCAGCATAATTAGTATTATTGTTGAAATGAACATGAATGTTATCTTGGATTTTATAAGAAACTCTGCCTATAAAGAGTCAGAGAGGGAATAAATTGAGCAATGGATTTAAAGAGAATAACTTTTATTACCCCATCAAGAAACAGAAATGATTATATTGAGGGCTAGGAGATTAAATTGTGTCACGTGTCAGGAAACAGGCAAGCAGCCCTCTTCTGCACTTTGCTTTTGTGCTGTAGATGGGTTTAATGAATGCACTGTTGGCCGAGTGGAGGATGCTATGTGATAGCTCTTCCTCAGGATGACATATTAGTTTGGGTCCTTGGCAATCTAAGGACTTCAAACAGTATTGAGGGCATTTTTATGATTCAGATACAGACATAGAAATAATAAACATCCTTCAGGATGGAAATATATCTATTTTATCTCTGAAAGAAAAATAAATATGAATATACTTTCCAAAGTGTTCTAATTTTTAAAAAATTTTAATAACTACATGATTAGAAGAAACATTTCATTACAGCTTCAACATATTCAATAACACACTGCAGAGCAAGAGTACATCTCTTTCACAAGTGGCTGCAAGTTTCTAGATTCACAGCTGAATTAATACAGTTATACAGTATTGAACTCAGTATAAGCCCTGTAAGACATAAAATTGAATGAGTTTTTAACCTTTAAAAAAGATCTCCATTTCATTTTAGAATATATGTTGCACTTAGACCCTTGGCGCCTGTGTATGTCTATGAAGTCATCGGGTGGATTTCAATGGTAATGTTTATCACCTCTACTAATTAACATGATGTAAACTTCCATGCTTCCTCCTCAAACACAATACATTTAAAAAATTTGTTTTTTTTTGTGTGTGTGTATATCACACAGAACATCCCAAACCATCTTATTTAACTACACACCCAATTCCCAGATGGCACCCTTCCATAGCCTCCCTCCCCCCACTACAGCCCTTATACTCTGATATCCCTGCTACTGTCTGCTGTGTTGTCGGAACCCCCACCCATTCCCCACTACTTGGCCATCTGGTGAATCTAGTCAGCCTATCTAGAGGTCTTTGTTTTAGGAAGGTCAGCTGTTCCTCATCTAGCAGCAATCAGTTGTCAATGTACCTTTAGATAAGATTGGGGTCTGTTGTTTATTTTCCCAGCCACAAAGGGAATTTCACTTCCCCAAGGTCAATTTGGTTAATAACAGGCACTAGCATCCATTCCTTCCTAGAGTTTGTACAGCTTACTTCTCCACACATCTTCAGGACTAGTGCTGAGACAGAGTACTCCTCAAAACTTATGCTCCTGCCTCACACTGTGTTGGTCACATGGAAGAAAGGCTGAGATGAGTTTAGTTTGGGCCTCTGTATTACTGTCTCTTTACACTACCTCAGACTGTTCATTATTTGAATCAAGATTTTTTTGATGTTTTATGCCAAATGCTGTATGTCTCACGATGTCACTCTTCCAGGCCTGTTTTGCCCTCCATAAATTGTGGGCCTTGGACTCGATCAACTCCCAAATTTTAAGAATCTGCATTTAATATCACATGGTTGATTTTTCATATAATAGTTATGCTTGAACTCTTACACATCACTAAGTCAGTCAAGAACATGAGAGGAAATGACCTCAGTAATAATAGCAAGACTTTTCCAAAAGAAGGGGAGACTCAATAGCTATCTTCAAATAGGTAAAGACTGTACTGTGGATTAGGGAGCTCCAGTTAGTACCACTGGACAGAAATTTCCAGGCTTTTCATTACCTAATCCTGGAAGATGGTATTCATACATGGCCACAGGTATGACCTTGAGTCCAGGAAGACAGAATGAAGACCAATCGGTAGATCAGATAAAGGAAATTGTAGCTCAGCATGAAATTAAGAATGCTCCATACATAATAAAGGTTCTATAAATGTTGGTTCTCGTGATCCTGTACAACTCTGGAATGAAGTTTTCATGGGAATAGAGCTTCCCTTTGTCTCTGTAAACATGAGATTTCCACCCTTGATTACCAGCAAAGAAAGGTGACATTCTAGGAGATACCTCTTTTTGTTCTTAGAGAAAGCATGCAACATAAAGTTCTCTCTGAAACTTAGAGTCTGCATTTGTTAAAGGTGATAGGTCTTTCAATTTCAGGTACATAAAGTGGTTGGAAACTATGATCAAGGCTGACAAATTTCTGAATTATCTTTCCTAAAATCAGTCTGTTTCCTTTTATAATCCTTCTCTGTGAAAAGGGTTTCATTATAGCCCAGGTTGGTCTAGGACTCACCTTTTAGCTGGGGCTGGCCTCAAACATGCCAATCCTCCTGCCATATTATTCCAAATGCTGGGATTATGCATGAGCCACCACAGCCAGATAATTTCTAAATTTACAAAATGGAGGTCCTCTACATGTAATACCAGCAAAACAATTCCCCATTACTTTATGGAATTCTACAACACATGTTTCAAGTCTCCTTCTCTCTAACTTGGATATTTTCTCACTCTGAAAATAGTTCATTCAGTGTGGGTCTTTGGACAGGTCTCCTATATTGAGGTCCACCTACCCAGGGCTTAGGGACCATTGTGGAAGAGGGGGTAGAAAGATTATAAGAGCCAAGGAGGAGATGCATGACCATGACCATACAGACATAGTCCCACTAGCACCTGGGACCCTTTTCATATAAATCTACAGCAAAGCAAACTTAGGCAGACAAAAACTCAGCACAGAACTGTGGAAATGAATAGCAAGCCCCAATCTTAGTCAAAGAATTATTGGCAGCTGATTACTGCTGGGAGAGGAAGAGCTGATCTTCTTGAAGGGAGAGACTTTAGATAACTGATTAAACCCCAGTGGATGAACTTGAACTGAGGGACGTCTTGGGACACTAACTTTACATAATAGGTCTTAATAAAAACGACAGAATATATGAACACAGGGGTGGGGGCTGGGGGTGGGAATGGGAGCCAAAAGGGAAGGCAGAAGGGGGTAGAAAGATGATTTTTTGAAATACACAAAAATTCAATAAAAATACTGTAATTATGAAAAAAAGAATATAGTTCATTCAATTCAACTGAAAATTCTATTGTCCTAAAACATTTATTTCCTATGGAACTGTCTTTTCTGGTCAACAGCATGGGCAGATATCCCTGCAAAAATATGATTCTCCTCCACAAGCTGCAAGGATGCATCTGTCAGAAGTAATCACTGTCTTAGAACAATCTGAGCAGGAACATCTTTGCCTATTTCAAAAGGAAAATAACTAGGTGACTCATGCTTAACGAAATGTAGACTGAGGAAGAGTGTGAGGTTAGTGTGTGTATCACTGGGGCCACACTCCTCAATGTGATAACCTCAGGCTAACCTCATCTTTACCTGCAGAACCCACTTAAACTGTCTGACAGCCTCACTTCTTATCCAATCCCTAGGAAAGTTCCTCTGTCTTCTTGGAAGCCTTGTTCAGGAGCTCTGGCTTTGTCTCACTTAGTCCAGCTTCAGTGAGGACTATATTGAGCCAGTTTAGGGGAACCCCCTCATCCTTGATATCTGACCAATTTATTTATATTCTACACTGGCCTGCCTTCTTCAATCAGAACCTTGGGAAGTCCCTTTAAACAGAATCTCTTACCTCTGATCATTTTCCTCAATAGTGCTCTATCCCTTGAAATCACATCCCTTACTTAGCTCTATGTTCCTAGTGGTCCTTGCTGCATGCAGGTGTATGTCCCATTATCTCTTTCCTACTACAAATGTTCCATTCTAGTAATCCTGGAAAAATCTTCTATAGACTTTAACAAGTGTCATAAGTAACTTCCTTTACCATTTTCTGATCCCCCCATTAACTTGCTCTCTTTTCTCTACTTATTCATTTCAAAGGCATCCATTCATCAAGAATGTAATGAGCCATTTAGATCTACATGATAAAAGGTATAAAGATATAGCTAGGGGGGATGGTACATGTCTGCAATCTCAGCTCTTCACTGACTGAAGTGAAAGCCACAAGTTTCAAGCAAGTCTGGTATTCATCGCAAGACTTTGTTTAAAAACATATAGAACTGAACCTGCTTGGTCTATGGGCTTCTGTAATCAGGCAGGGTCAGTTTCTCTACAGGACTATCTCCCGCAAGTTTCTGAACTCTCAATTTTTAAGCCTTCATTTCTGTTACCATTTTAGATTTATTAATTGTTCCATGTGATTAATCTCATTTCTCAAAATTATTTTTAGGTTCTTTATACTATTGGATTATATCTAAATCTCAGAAATTCAATAAAGAAAAGACAAAAAAACCCATAAAGGACAGGCCTGGCTTCAGCAGTTATCGTCTGCCCCCAAGCAGTATGTTGGCTCTACCCCTTAAACTCATCTTGCAGTCTTTATCAAAGCCAAGCATCTTTCCTTCTGTTCTCTGGAACAAGTTGCTCCTTTTCTGTGTCCCAGCTCAGATTTGTAGCATTAGTTAATTTAACTATCTAATCATCCTTAAAGACCCAGAGTCTTCCATGGATAGTTTCTCTGATACTCTCTCTAAAGATCTAGAGAAAAGCCAGTAAATGCTTTCTGGACCCTTGTCTGTAAAAGTACATATCTAGTGCTATGTACAGTGTATTGTTTCTACATATTATATTCTTTGATTCACTCCTTAATTCACATTATTATTCTTTCTAACCAGACAGAAGGCCTCATGAGGAAGAAAGATATATTTACATTTCCTCCTCACAATGCCTGATCCAATGTCACATTTAATAGCTGTCAACATACACAAATTAAATATGACTTAAATTCAGTAAGTAGGAAGAGATCTTCAAAGTCACTACAGAGAGTTTGCTTTGGTAACCTTCCAAATGCAGGCGTTTTATAGAATCATTTTTCTCCAAAGGTACAAATGTGTCTCAGTGATGCAACAGATCAACTCTCCCAGTAATCTAATGCTATAGATCTTTACCTGAGTCTGCCATCCTCTGCTGCAGCACCTCCTGGTATAATCTTCGTAATAAATATGCCAGGGTCATCTCCAATGTGGGGATTATCTGTCCCTCCAGCAATACTGAATCCCAGGCCAGAATTTCCCTGGAGAAACAATAAGTAGATATTAAATGATGCGCTGTCACCTAAAACCCAGTTCCTCCCGTTTTCTGCTATCATGTTACTGCTCAAATTGAAATCAGGTGATAGCAGTCTCATATGCAAAACTATAAAGCTCACTGTCAGCAGACAGAGCAAGGTCAGGAAATCCTCCCCTGTCTTTGTTTTGCAATGATTCAAGGGCCAATATGCTTCTTTTATGTCAAAAATTAAATGACCACTATGAACTGGGAAACAAAAACTTGCAAATTATGCAACATGAAAATGAAAATAATCATTAGAATATCAATGCTAAAAAGTATATACTAACAAGGAAAATGGAAAGAAACAAGTTATATGAAAACACATGATGTGACAGAATCTTGAAATCTGGGTATTTTGACTTTATTATTTCTAATTTTGTTGTTTTAATATGGATTATTCATCAAATGAATGTGCTTCTGTGTAACACTCTCTGTATTCAGAAAGCAGGAACCCCCTCTAGAGTCATAACATGTGAGATATTTCCAAAAATAAACAAGGCTGAATTTGCAGTGGCACTGCACAGGCATGCAATACTTCAACATGCAAGTTTAAGTAGTTTATATTCTAGTAAACTTTTCATACTTTTTTAGATTACAGTAATTGACATCCAATATACATATATCTTCCAAAAATAAGGCATAAAGTTCCCTCAAAATCCATACATCATCTTAACACATTTCTTATCTACATATTCTCTTTAATCCATATCACCATGGTTACATTATGTTCCCATAACTATGTTCTGATATTTTTCCATTATATTTTAAGCGCTTCCTGTACAGCTAGGCATGTCTTAAATTATCCATTTTAAATGGCTAAATAATATCTTATTGAGGTCATAAGCCATCATTTAACTGGTCTGTTGCTAGATATTTAATTTCACTCTATGCTATATTGCTTACTCAATTTTGATTGCTTGATGAAGTTCCACTCTTGGGTAAAAACAAATGAAGAGTAAGAATTTAATAGTTAATCCTGAGAAATTAATTAGGACACTCATCTAGTCAGAAAACTTCAATGTCAAAATAAAGTCAGATATAAATTGATAGTTACAGTGCTATAAATGTCAAGGTAATATTTAGCACAGCTTTGCGTGTATATGTTGTGTATGTGGATCTGAAGCGGCCAGAGGAGAATGCGGGGTGACTTCTACTGCTCTTTCCTATTCCCTTGTGAGAAGCTCCTCTCACTGAGCCTGAAGCTTGTTATTTTCCATCTAGGCTGGTTGGCTGCAGTGCTCCTTCTGTCTCCAGTCTGTTGACCAGCACTGAGGTTACAGATAAGTGTGTCCATTTCCGTGGGTACTGGGGAATCTGAACTTAGGTCCTCATCATTGAGCAGCAAGTAATTTTTATGTACTGAGCCATCTCCCCAGCCCGTTTAGCATTTTTTCATTTCCTGAGTTAAGAAAACTGAACTTTTCTGTCTTCCTTTCAAAACTGTGTATTTATTTTAAAAGGTTAATATTAAAAATTCATCATGAGTGACTAAAATCCCACCTTTTGCATAGGCACCTGTATACACATGGCAGATACCCACACAGACACACACACACATAAAGGAAATAAAATCTTAAACATTTTTTGATTTATATTTTTTTATGTATATGAATGTTTTGCCTGTTTGATATACGAAGTGCAACCACGTCATGCAATCCCCATGGAGGCCAGAAGAGGGCATTGGATCCACTGGAACTGGAGTTACTGATTGCTGTTAGCTTCCATGTGGGTGCTGGAAACTGAATGTGTGCCCTCTGCAAGCATAGCTAGTGCTCTTAACCACCGAGTCATCTCTCCACCAACATTAGGTTCTAATAACTGCCTATAATTCCAGCTCCAGGCTATACAATACTCTTTTCTGCCCTCTGTGGACACACACACACACACACACACACACACACACACACACACACACACACACATAAAGAAAAAACAAAATAGATCTTTAAAATTGTCTATTTATATTTTGATATTCTCTCTATTTGTTACCAGAGGATCTGAATTCGGTTCCCAGCACCCATATTGGGTGGCTCACAACCTCCTGTAACTCTAGCTCCAGGGGATCTGATGCCCTCTTCTGGAACCCACAGGCACTGCACTCACATCACACACACACACACACACACACACACACACACACACATACACACATAAAGAAAAAACAAAATAGATCTTTAAAATCCTGTCTTTACATTTTGGTATCTTCTCTAATTCTGATGTACTTTGAAAAGTTTCAATATTCACTGAACAGAGTTGCTTAATATCATTCATGTGATCAGTATATTTGCTATTTGTTAGACAGCAGCTCTGTGCCTGTCACTAGGCTAAGTCCAGGAGTTACAGTAGTGAATATGTAGTGAATAGTGTTTATGAAGCATATAAAAGGGAAATGCACAATGTGTATTAGTTAAGAAGAAAACCAAACATCATAACTTAGTGCTATAATGTTCTGGAAAGAACCTCAGTGAAGAGACCAAAGCCCTCAGGTAAAATCCATGAGGTGAAAAGGGGTTAGTCAGACCCAAGAAAACACAATTGAAACAAAGGAAACCAGAAGAATTAGATGGGGTATAGCTTAATCATGGAAGTCAGAAGAGTAGAGTGCATGAACATTCGTTTTGGGTTGTAAGGACCTAATGATACCAATGTTTATGTCAGAATATTGAAGGTTCTAGAAGACCTTAAGAAGAGATGGCTCTGCCACTATGAAATTCTAGGCACAGAAGACAGAAACAGTCTGACATCTGGTCACAAATACATTTCATTTACCATATAACCTCAAGTACACTGTCAAGTAGGTAACCATGGAGATGGTGCAGACATGACGTGGTGTGGGCAGTTTCTCTAAGGTATTTGGTGTAGGAAAGGAGGAGAAGATGAGTCTCTTCATTGTGATTTGCGTCTAGCTTCAGGAACATCAACTTGAGCACTTTGGTATGTTAAAGTTTGCCCCTTAGGGTGCAAATTCTTGGTTAGTGGAGGTAGTGATAAAAGTAAGCAGGGACTGGGAGATGCTCAGATCTTCTCCTGAAATAGTAAATGTGTTTGGAGAGAGCACACAAATCTTTGGCATTTATGAAAGATGCCATAATCTTCTTTTACTACTGTCAACTTTATTTTCAGATAAAGTTCACTTGTTCTTCACATTTCACCTTCTAGAACACTGAATCAAGCTACTTTGTCCTGAACAAACAACTCTAAATTCTGTTGTTGGCTATTTCTCTTCCAATTTCTCAGATGACTTGCCCAATTCACATTTTTTATAATAAGGTTCAGATGGAATTGGCTCCAGAAAACTATTTCTAAAATCTAAATTTTATCCCATACCGACAATTATAGTTACAGGATACAATGTGGTAATATGATCTTTAAATATTTATAAAGATTACACTACTTTGCATACCACAGTTATCTCTTCAAATATTTTGCATTTTCTTCTGATGAAAACATTACAAATTTATTCTCAGCTATACCAGAATACACAGAATTCAGTCATTAATTATAATTATCCTGCCATGTAACTGATTTAAAGAATCAAATTTATTTTCCCATCTGAGTCATCAAACCTTTGACTACCATCCCTCTAGGTCTTTTATCTTTAGCCTCTGGTTGTTGCTATTAGTCTCTCTGTGTCTATGAAACAATTGCTTTAGATTCACATACAAATAAGAATATACATTATTTGTCTTTTTGTCTTTAGTATATTTCACTTACCATAAGGTTCACTAAATCCATTTGTGTCATCACAAATGATAGGACCTTTTACTTTTTACAGACTAAATAGTATTCCATGCCAAGTCCTCTATATCCATTCATCCCATGTGGACATGTACTTTGATTACTCAACTTAGCTATGTATTTTTAGACAGAATCTAGCTATGTAGGCAGATTAACCTAGAACTTATGATTCCCCTACCTCAGGCTTTAGAATACTAGAATTGCTACTCTTTTTTTTTCTGCCCATCCCACTTCCCTCCTCCCTCCCAGTTTCATGCATCCCCATTATCCCTTCTTTCTCCCCAATAACATCCATCTCCTGCCATCTCCCCTCTCCTGAGTTCCCTCCTCCAACCTTGACCACCTGTATGTTCTTTCCTCCTCCCTTCCCAGCCATACACTTCCACTTTGCCCACCTCCCTCCTGGTAACTTCTGTCCCCTACTGTCTTCTTCTTGCTGGTTGTTTCTTTTCTTTATCTCTGTGTTTCCTTTCCATTTTCCTTGCTTTTGGTGTTACATCAGGATATACACTCACTGTGCTGGATAGCCTTCCTGTCAACTTGACACACCTGGGTTGAGGGAGCCTCAATTGGGGAATTGTCTCCATTGGACTGGCCTGTGGCCATGTCTGTGGGGCATTTTCTTGATTGTTGAGTGCTGTGGGAGGGCCCAGCCCACTGTGGGTGGTGCCATCCCCTGGCAGGTGGGCCTGTGTTGCATAAGAAAGCAGATTGAGCATGGGCCAGGGGAGTAAGCCAGTAAGCAGCGTTCCTCCATGGCCTGTGCTTCAGTTCCTCCAAGTTCCTGCCCTGAGTTCCTACCTTGGGCTCCCTCATTGATGAACTGTGACCTGGGAGCTAGAAGACAAATAAACCCTTCCTCCCCAGGTTGGTTAGTGGTGTTTTGTCACAGCAATGGGGAAACAACTAGAACACTCACATATAAGAGATTGGTACTACGATCTGCAAAAGAAGAGCATACCTCGTTTACTTGTCTGCATTTGTGTTACTTCACTTAGTTTAACAGTCTCTAGTTCCATCCATTTACCTGCAAATTTTGTAATTTCATCTTTTCTTACTGCTGAGTAGAACTCCACTGTGTAAATGTACCACATTTTCATTATCCATTTGTCAGTTGAGGGACATTTAGGATGTGTTCATTAACTATTAATAAGAAAGGAGCAACAAACATGGATGTACAGGTGTCGCTACAGTGGGATGAATCTTTTGGGTATATGACAAGGA